TTATTTCTTAACGTACATGAAAAAAATATCTTTTTAAAAAGCTGATGATTTTGCTTGAGACAATGACTAACGGAACTCTTCATGAAAATTTTTAGATAAAGAGCAGGGAGTTTTTCAGTCTCTCATAAACTGTCCTCTGCGCTTTTCATTTGAGACAATTTCCATTGCAAAATCAGACAGTTCCTGTTCATTCGTCTAACGTTTTGTAAATTAAAAGTAATTTATCTCCTTTATACTTACTTTCTCCGTCTGCTGATTTTGTAAGGTCATCCACTTCTTCATTCGTCATTTCGTGATTAATTCTTCGGCTTCTTCTCCCGTATGAGAAAATTCTTTCACCATTAATTGCTTTTACAGTTTGTTCGATTTCTTTGGCTTCATTATCAGTGGATGGAAATTCTTCAAAACTGTTGATAACTTCTGTCCACAGTTAATGCTAACAAGCATTCCGTGTTGATGGATGAGCGTTGAACCGGGTATAAATGGAATTCTAGTGTTGGACAAATTATAAGGAAACCATTAAGAAAACTCTGTAGAGACATTAGGGTTTTTTGGAAGCAGGAGGCTGGAAAAATGAGCAACACTTTCGCCGGGAATCGAACCACAGATCTCTGGAATACGCACCCAGCATACAGATCACTACACCACGAAGGCACGATAAGAAGGCGAGAGAAATACCTTATATACTCCTTTTTTAAAGGGCGACTGGGGTTTTAGGGGACCCAGTCGCCAAATCCTGGGCGTGGTGAGTCATCATCCACCACCCTTTTAGTTCGGGCGCCATCTGTAGAGACATTATGATTTTTTTTGGAAGCAGGCAAGATGAAAAAATGAGCAAATCCTTCTCCGGGAATCGAACCGCGGACTTCTGGAATACGCGCCCAGCGTGCAGACTACTACACCATGAAGGCACTCTAAGAAGGAGGGAGAAATACCTTATAAGCGAAATCGCGTTCAACAAATCTGTATTCGGCAAAGGTTTACTATAACTAAGTCACCGTAATATCAAAGGACAAACATTTAAGTCTATAAAACATGGCAATATATTATTTAAGTATATAAAACATGGCAAATCATTATTGTTCAAAAAAGTAAGTCTTTTGCCATTTCGTGGACTAACTCCATATGGAATTCTTGTAACGTACTCAGCTTTCCCGACATTTTCCGAGTATGAGGTAGTTTTCGGAATCAGCTGTGATTCACTTTAGGAAGAAGTTCTGGAGTTCCTCTGTAAAGAAGTGGTGGTGGGTATTTAGATCACGTGCTTGGAGAAAAATTTCCGACATCTCATCATCCTCCGGAAGATGCGAAGAGAGAAGAACGTGACCACCATCTCTGATCATGTGATGCGGCAGTTCAAAGTCTTAAGCCGGAATATTTGGGATACTAATCCAGAGGCTATCGTTAGGGAGTTTAGATCGCAGAAGCATTTCTTCGCGGTTAAAGAAAGAAATATATTATTCGAAAAATATCATCTGGAGAGTTTTCTTCAGTTCTGTAAGTTGTTACGAAATAATTATTGAACTTGGGCTCTCACATGCAAGTAAAATAAATTAGAAAATAAAATACTCCTCAATATTAATTCGAATGCAATAGAACCTCGAATATCAGAACATATTTTATACCAACATTTAAAACGTCTTCGATTTTATTTTTTTATAGCAACATTTAAAACTTTTATTATTATTTGCTTTACCATCCGCAACCCACACTTCTACTTTTATTCCGTCTTTGTCCATAAATTAAAAAAAATGTCTTGCGAGTGAATAATTTCTATCTACCAAAAAAGTGTGCTGCCTACCTAAAACTTATAAATTAATGTCGAAGCAAGAGAAATACGTCTCTTTAGAGATGTCACTTTTACACTCATGTCCATAAATTAAGGATAATTCGGAGACACGCGGAAATCGAACTCTAAAATAAATATATCACCTGTAAAATCACTACACACATCTTCAAGAATCATATGCAAATTTCAGGAAGTAACCAGATGACACCTATGGTACGTCACAATGATGAGAGTGTAAGAGAGTGATATATAAGGAATAAAGGCAAAGAAGTAACATTGTTCGCTGGCGCTTTATAAGCATTTCAGTGCAACAACCGAATAGTTATGACACAAAGGACACATTTGGATGATCTTTTACGTGGTAGAATTATGGGCCGTCTGGAATGTGGACGTACCCAACTGGAAGTATCAGACGAACTTGGAATTGCCCAGACTGTCATCTCCAGGCTTTGGCAACGATTCCAAGATGATGGTAATGTGAGTAGACGTTACAGCACAGGTCGCCCCAGAGTTACAACGCCGAATGAGGACCGGTATTTGGCAGTTACTGCCAAAAGAAACAGGCGGAGCACAGCCTCAGACCTGTCTCGTCAGCTCTCTTCAGCCACTATTACGACAATTTCAAGCTAGACCGTGTACAGACGCTTAGGTCAGATTGGTCTATATGCTGGTAGACCTGTCAGATGCGTTCCACTTACTGAAACTCACTGTCGCCTGTGGTTAGCCTGGAGTAGAGAGCATGCATTGTGGACACCACAACAGTGGGCTTGTGTGATGTTTTCCGCCGAGTCCAGCTTTAGCTTGCAGTCTGATTCTTGCAGTCATTCTTTCATATGGAGAGCTCCAGGTACCCGTTACCACCAAGAAAACATCATTGAACGACACCGTTACGGTGGTGCAGGAGTGCTCGTTTGGGGTGGAATTATTCTGGGTTCCAGAACTTTCTTACTAACCTGCATGTTCAAATTGGAACCATGACAAGCCAAATCTATCGGGACGTCATTCTGGAACAACATGTACGTTTGTTTCGGGGCGCCGTGGGCGCACAATTTGTGTTTATGGATGACAACGCCCTTCCTCACCGTGCAAACATCGTAAGCGAATGCCTTCAATCGGAGGATGTCACCCGTATGGACTGACCAGCATTCTCACCGGACTTGAATCCAGTAGAGCACGTGTGGGACATGCTTGGCCGACGAGTTGCAGCCCGTCAACCTTCTCCTACATGTCTACCGGAACTTCGGAGAGCATTGCTTTTTGAGTGGTGTAATATCCCCCAAGATCAGATCGACAATTTGATACTCAGCATGCCTAGGCGTTGTACGGACTGTATTGCATCGTCTGGGAGACATGCAATGTATTAACAATCATACCAACCATGTAATATTGGTTTTTTGTAAATAGGTTTTTTTTTTTTTTTGTAATTTGCTCCAGGGAGAAAAAATCGCTAATTTTTTTAATAATATCAAATATATAGCATCTTTTCTTGCTCTTTACCTTTTGTTTAATAAATAAGCTTTAAAATTAGTCAAATTTGTTTTGCTTCTAACTCTTCCTTTGCCTGATTTTGCATTATCCTTAATTTATTGGCATGAGTGTAATATCGATCTAAACTATTCGCTTAAATTGAACGACCGATAATTGGATATTTTGTAAATATCGTTTGCCAGAAATGAGTGAGAATCGGACGGACTTTATGCGGTTCGGATAATAGTAACTCCTGATACTATTATCCAATATCTATAAAAATTCTTATTATAGATATTGTTCTATAATAAGAACTATTAGTTCTTACAAAAAGAAAAATACTTTATAAGGTATTCTGTCCTTCCTTTGCGCATGCTTTCGTGGTGTAATTGGAGGCATACACGACGCGTATTCGAGAGGTCCAGGGTTCGAGTCCCGGTGAGGGCATTGCCCATTTTTCACAGCTCTTGCTTAAAAAAATGACTCTACAACCAATATGAAATTTCGTTATAAACATACATACACGCAAATGTATGTTTCGATCATCGCAGACTTTATATATAACGATTCTGAGGGCGGATATGAACCAGAAATAAAAAAAAAATTCCTGAAAAAAAAAAGTATTATGTCAGTCGTCCTTAAAATCGACAGAGTTGTATATGAAATTTACACTAATTCTTCCGCTCTGCCTAATTTTACAGAAATTTAAGGCTCTTGGAGAAAGAAACTAAAACATTTTCTGGAAAGTGGAGAACTTTCTAAAGGAAAGTGGTCTATATTTTGCAAGAAGTGTGTGTGTGTGATTATGGCAAAGTCTCGAGGGCTATCTGCCTAAAGGCAGGGATGCCTTCGTGGAGGACTTTCTAAGGGAAACTGACTCGTATACAGGTTACACATGGGGAAAACCACGAAAACGCCCATGCAGCCAGCCCGTTCGCGGGATTCGAACCTCGGACCGAACTACCAGTGTTCAGCGAATTTACCGCTCGGCCGCTGGTGGGCCCATTTTGCAAGAAGAAAAGCTATGTGTAACAGACCTGAAACATTTCTAAAAATTATAATGTAAAAATAAATCGTTCCAGAGCATTTTAAATAAATATAAGGAATTCAAGATTAAATCATCAACTTAGAATCAACGATGGTTTTAAGAGAGTCTAGCAATTGGTATGGGTTTCTGTTCAAAGAGGAAAAAATTATTCTGCCCATCATTTTTTTAAAAATAATACCACTATTCAATCTAAATTTGTTTAAATTTTGCCTGACTTTGAATTTCGTATGGGTATGTTTCTGTTTTCATGCATCATTTAGGTTAAAATTATAGAAAATATATTCATGGAAATTAAAAATACAGCGAGTCAGGGAAGAAGGGAAACAAAAAGATGAATATCGTTTCCAAGAAATAACAACTTTAAAATTCCGAAACACTGTTATCAGAAAAAAGAAATAATATCCCAGATTAAATAGATAGCCATTCAGAAACCAAAGAACGCGCAGGGGGATAAATTGAAAATAAGTTCTTGTTATTTATTTATTCAACCCATTTAAATAAAGATTATTGCTGTTCATTGCAGAGTGTTATTTACAAATTCTGAAGAAGTCAAAAATCGCTGTTATCGAAAGTTCTAATCTGCGAACTTGTAATATGATAAGGCACAAACAACTTACCAACTCAAACAGAATACGACTCGCTGTAGCAGTCAAGGCCATTACGCTTAGCAACAAGACGTATCACGTGATCGAGGTGAAAAGTCATCACATGATGAAATGTGATCGGGTAATAAAATTTAACGCCTTAACCAGGGCCTCCTGCACAGGATATCTGCCAGATATGAATGCGTATTGAGTTGTGACAGTTGTCACAGAGGTTTTCTGTGAGTAGTCCTGTTGGTAAGTAAAACGCTCTCTTAATAATGAACGTTTGTGCTTTATTTGGGGCAGGAATAATTTATTGCAAAAAAATTAGTAACTCAGCAAGTACTATATGTGGATTATCGACAGCAGTACGTTTGTTGCAAACTAATATTACGAGCAGTACTTTGTAAACAATAGGAAATAGTATATCCCCTTTTCGCATTTTAATTGACTGTGCTGCAAATTATTATATATTTTAATTAAATTATTGATGTTTTTCCATAAAATGTGATGTTTCGTAATCCATAAAGATGCATTATATTATTTATTTATGAAGCTCAAAATTTTCCAGTCTTTCGAATATGAGTGGTTGTTTAATCCTTTTACTTGGTTAAACATTTTAACGTATCTCGTTGCATATTTATAATTATTTAAACAATGGTAATGGTAAATTTTGTTTATTCGTTAAGATCAGAAGAAACACTTATAAACATAGTTTTTGTTTAAAACGTAGCTTTGAAAATCTCTATAAAAATTATGAATACAATTCAATCTAAAATAAAATTACAAAATATATATATCGAATAAAAAGGCACAAAAGATTTGAGCTTAAAAAATTATGACACTAACAATTAATAGATGTTTTCCTTATCATTAGTGCCATAAGATCAGATAAAACACTTCTAAACATAATTTTTGTTTAAAACGTAGTTTTGCAAATCTCTACAAAAATTATGAATAGAATTCAATCTAAAATTAAAATTACAAAATGTATATATCGAATAAAAAGGCACAAAAAATTTGAGCTTAAAAATTATGACATTAACAATTAATAGATGTTTTCCTTATCGTTAGTGCCATCATTTTTTCAATTTCAAATCTTTGGTGTCTTTTTTTTTCAGTGAAGTGTAGAATCGTCCACTTATTTGACGCGTTATGTTTGGCGCTTTTTACAAGAGTAGGAAGAAATGGATTTTTGTCAATTTCTTGCGAACTCCTTTGTCCATGTACACATCGATGTATTTTCACTTAAAAAGTCAAAGGAAATTGACTAAACTCCAATTCTTCTTACTCTTGTAAAAAGCGTCAAACATAACGCACCAAATAAGTGGTTGATTCTGCACTTATATCAGAAAGTTCATTTTCTCATTTTATGTGACCAGCAAAACCGAACAGTGTTCTTTATAATTGATAATCTGATAATAACAGAATGATTCACATAAGCATTCCAATAAAATACTATAAATTATATATCGTTCGTTTACATTAAAATTCCGCTAATTACTCTTTAAACCTCCATCATATGAAATTACACTTGCATCATTATACAGGTTTTCTTCCAAGTTTGCATACACTGCAGTAAAACTAAATTAATCATCTATTATGTGGAAGTTACTCTTGGGAATATCTTAAAACCGGAGTCAAATGTTCCCTCTGTGCATTTTAAATAAAACTCCGGTTTTATTAACGCTAATCGTTGTTTTATTCTTTGATTTAAATAAAAATCCGTGTTCGTAAATTAGTAAATTAACCATCGGGAATTATATTATTGCAGCAATGTATTATATTTTAAATAATGCAGAGTTAAATTTTCAAATTGCAAATAATGTAGAATATGTCACCAATGTATTTATTTTTAAGAAAACTGAACTTGCGACATTTAGAAAATCACTTCTTATTCAAACATTTTGCTAAAACAAAACCGCTAAAAATAATCATGTGGTTATAAGGTTTCAGGATAAAATCGGTAAGGGATTTTCAGACTGATTTTACATAGATTCGCGATTGGCATGTGTTTGTCTTCTTTTTTGCAGGGATATAAGATTGAAAAGTACTCCTAAGTATTTTTGGTCAAACACAGTTCGTTTCCACGTAGTTAACATTCAGTGTATCAAAAGAAGATATTTAGTATGAAACTCAAAATTAACCAGTAGTTCGTCTATTATGTTGTACATTTCTCTATTATATAATGAAATATAGGTACCATTCGGTACATTTCTCTCTTATATAATGAAATATAGGTACCGTTCGTCGATACGATATCGCTGTTTCGTGTGTTTTAGTCATTTAATGGAAGTTACAGAGTCCTAATCTTGTAAAAATCAAAATCCTTCATACTTTATTTAAACTGACAAGCGAGTTATTGCTCCGTCTGAAATATTATAATGAAGTCAAACAACCTTTTTATTAACTTTTTAAATAAACAGAAAACGCAACGTGTGCGTACAAATAAATTCCGCCACTTACGGGTATTCAAAATAATAATTGAAAGCTTAAACTGAAGGTATAGTAGTCGAAGACTACACAAAGTGAGTTGAATTGAGTTGAGAGCAGAATCTGGACACCCGTGCGGCTTACTAAGACTATTCGGGTCTAGTCCAGGTTCCGCAACTATCCGGGGCAACGCCTCATGGGGCCTATAAGGGCATACATTGGTCCTGTATACATGCTTACATAGTTCATAACATATGCTTATAGTTACATAGTTCATAATATATGCTTACATAGTTACATAGTTCATAGTACATGCTTATATACAAGTAGTTCATAATACATAGATCTTTCATAATACTTGCTTACATAGTTCATACATATACATGCTTACATAGTACATAGTGGCTTACATAATTCATACTTGCTTACATAGTTCATAATATATTGAGCCTGTTACATAATACATACATAGTTCATAATAATTTTCATTGGCCATAGTACTCGTACATACATGTTTCATAATATATACAGTGGGCCGTAATACATACATGTTTCATAATATATGCAATAAAAATAATAATAATAATAATAATAAAATTTAAAAAAATAATAATAATAAAAAAGATAGAGAGAGAGAAGAGAGATTGACAGGGAACTACTCCACACTGCACAAATCTATTCCCAATTCCTCCAGTTTCTGCATTATCTTGCATATTTTGATGCGAAATGCTGGCTGTTTGATCAGATAACGCTTATGAGAAGTTGCCTGTTCCGGTAGCTGCACATGCCACTGTGCGGTTATAGGGCATTGGGTCAAGTAATGGTCTGGTTTACCAATGCCTCCACAGACACAACTTTCGGTATTTGCAATTCCTCTCTCATAGTAATAGGAGGGGAAAACCCCGTGCCCCGTCACAAATCTTGTTATTTGTGGGGATGACTCGAGACGATCGAGCGAAACTTAATGGTAATATTCATAGGTCTTCCTGCCTTGTTCGGTAGAGTCCCATTCCCATTGCCACTGGTGCTGAGCTGCTGTCCTTGTCACTTTTTTAGTGAGACCACGGGGTAATTACGCATTGTGCATCGATATTGTGAGCTGCTTCTTTTGCTAACCTGTCGGCTTCCTCATTACCTTGAATACCGGCATGTGCCTTTATCGAAGATATGAGGGTATTCGTTGTCGGACGAACGCTCCTTTCAGCACGTCCTGAATCTCCGCTATGACAGGAGAAGGTTGTCTGGGATTTCGTAAGACATGCATGACCGAGAGGCTGTCTGTAAGAATATTAACAGTGGATCCTACTGGGGGGCTTGTTAACTCGATAGCTTTACGAATCGCAATTGCTTCAGCCTGGAAAACTGATCCCAGGCTGAATAGTTTAACGGCGCATTTTAAAGTCGACTTGCGAAATAGCTAAAGCCGGGATATTTATAGGGATAGAGCTCGGCGGTTGAACGTAATCTGCAGGAGACGCTGCGAACAGCGGTAACACTAAAACATTAAATGCTTTCAATCGTAACAATTGGCCAATTAACATAAAATACCCTGCAAAATCATCGTTATCAGCGTAATGAAATGGGGATGTAGGAATATCTGCTAGTTATGTGATAGGTGGATCGACCGACGAACTTCATGGTAAGTCGAATTTTTATGTTAATACATAAATAATTGTAGCTAAATAGAACGAGGGGCTAAAATTACTTGTTTAGAACAAAAGTATTGTTACGAATTTTGTATGTATGTAAATAATTTTAATGAAATTATATGTAAATTATTTTATCTCTTGCGTAATGTAACATGAAAGTCCTCAAAAATGCGAAGCTTCGCCGGAAAAATAAGGCTACAGGGACAAGTCGATTTAACATTGAGATAAATGGCTATATCGCCATACGCCAGGATGATGGGTTTCGCCCCAGATTTAGCAAGAACCACTAAATGGTCGCCAAATACCAAGGCGATATTTTAATCTGACTTCTTTGTAACTGTAACTGGGCCTTTTTTTTAATTCTGACTGTGCAATTTCGACAAATCAAAGCGAAAAGACTGAAAATTTCTCGGCGGACAGGGCAAAACTATATAAGAAACGATGAGAGGATTTTATACAAGCTAGGAACAGTTTAATTTAGCTCGGAGTTTAACTGATAATACTAAGAGATAACTGTGCGAACTGAGGAAACACTTGAGGCTTTTTATATGATTTTAGGTTTAACGTTCTTAGTACTTTGATGTGGTAATTAATCACTGTCTGCCATACTGAGAAACAGCATTACGGGTACTTTTGGGCAAAGTTCAAGAACTGTAAAGTGTTTCTTTTGGGAAAAATAAGTTTTATCAATTTATCAACGGTTCTATTTGCATTCAATTCATCACGAACCCGTACGCACGCAGCAGTATGTAATAGATATATAGTTTTAATTCATATCGATAAAAATATTATTGCTACAAATGTGCTACATAAAATGGAGTTATTTTCATTCCGATGTCTTCAATAAATTTAACTAACTCGTCTGATGCTTAAATGTTTTTTTATGACGTAAAACCTTTCATAGCCAGCTAGTAATTTTTTATTCCTTGCTTTATAAACCAGGATGCGTTCTTTATTAGAGTTTATGTTCTCCGAAACATTTAACCATTTGGGCAGAGGCCAATCAAGCATGAATTTGTCATACGTCTCTTGGATTTGTATCTGAAGTGTCAACACCTTCAGTAGCAGTTTTCTGAAGCATCCTCTCTCAATAAGCTCATCGGCTATAAGATCTTTGCTATGTTAAGTCCAGTAGCTAATGACGTAATCAGTATCAACTTCCAAATCTAATTTGTTAGTATAACTGAAAAATTTTCTATTACATGACTTATTTGATTACTCCTTTTAGGCTTTTTGTCTCGTTTTTGGAAGAGAATGGATAAATTTTTATCCAGATATATTCGAAGTTGTTTTTTCCAAATTTTATTCAAATAATCTCCAACAAAAATAATGAACCACAACTGATTTCTCGTAAATCGGTAAAGTTCGGGTTATTACTGTATAAAGTATTTCTCCTACCTTCTTGGCGAGCCTTCGTGGTGTAGTGGTCTGCACGCTGAGCCGGTATTTCAGACGTCCGTGGTTCGATTCCCGGCGTTGCTAATTTTTCAATAATCTGACCTGCTTCCATAACATACCTAATGTCTCTACAATTGTATATAATTTTAATTTATGTTAATTGACTGCATAAGTGATTAAAATTGTTATTGATCAGCAGCCACAAGGTAGGAAATATTTGCTAGATTATAAAATTTTTTCGAATATATATTTAAAATCATGTGGTCAGAATGCTTAGTTATTTTAATGTTAGATAATATAAAATTCTTGTAATAAATTCATATGTAAAATTGTGAATACACAACTGGCTGTTTTAGATTAAATTTAACTTAAATTATTAAGTATTCTCAAAAGTACAAAATTGTAGAAGAATTCCTTCACTTTAATATTCGTGTTGCATGTCAGCGTATATTTTTCGTATAATGAAGATATCATCATTATCGTGATTTTTATAGTGAAGAATGTGTTTGATATTGTTTAAGAAATATATTTATCTGTTTCATTTAGCATATTATATGACTGCATTTATAAATATTTGTTATTACCTTGCAGATTGCATAACCATGGGAATGCATAGATGGCTTTTATGTCCATTAATATGTTTAATACTGGCGGTAACCTCTGCTAGACCTCCAGAATGCGAAGAAGCTCCTTCGTGGTCCATTGGAGGTCGCCAGCCTCTAGTAGAAGCCAAAGGAAAGGTGACTTTGGTAGCGTTGCTGCAAGCATCCTGACAGTTCTGTCTGGAGCAGGCATCAAGGTGAGTTAACAGTATGCTTACATGGTTGAACAGGATTGTGCTCGAATATGTTATATTTTTCTTTAAGTTTCTATGCTTAAAAGGAATCAGCTTCCGACTAATCGTCCTGCGGATTTATGTAAAAAACGGTAATTCTTTTTATTATGAAGTAATGAAAAAATTACTGATACCGACTAAAAATCAAGAAGTTCTGACTGAACTTTTCAAACGCGAATTTTAACTCTTTGGCATTTTTCACGTTCTTTTGAGAGCATTGTTCTTCAAAGCCCTAGCTTAGCATAATTTCTTTATTTCTAGTGATGTTTATTTTTACATTACTTACAAAGTGTTCTTTTGTTTCGAATAATGATTTAACTTACATTTATTATATACAATTATATTTATTAGATATTTTAAATTACATTTTTATATAATTTGGAAAAAAAAAGCAGATAACTGCCATGCCAAATTACAGTAAATTATATTCTTCTTCAGATTAAGCTACTTGAATTAAAATGTAACTCGTTAAAAAGTAATTTTGTGTTAATTACAACGGTTCTGTGGCTTACAAATTGACTTTATTAATCGTGCTTATGTATTAATCCAGGTATTACCTCAGTTAAGCGGAAATTTACAATAGTTCTAATCCCCATACCTTCTTTTTTAAGAGATAAAAAAAAGTATTAAGCTTAGGATATCAGAAATGTCAGATGTGGCAGTATTTTTCCAGTTTAAATTGTCTGCTTGATGAGTTAATTATACGATAAGTGGAAAACACTACGGGTCATCAGTTTATTTGCCCACAGAAGAAGACAGTTTGTTTTTCAAAGACCATATAGATATCCGTACCAACTGCGTTCTCGTATCCGGAAAATGGGCAATGAAATTAATTCATCTGAAAAATGTTAAATATATCATCTTTAGGAAATACTATATAAATCAAACACAAAGTAGAGACTTAACTTTCAAAAGAAAATATTTTCGTAAAAATAAAATGGGATAGTAATTATTCAATGAAATTTTGTATTTGAGAAGATAGGAAACATTTATATGAATAGCTGAAATTGAGTAGAAATGAGCAACCTATTTTTCTAGTTGGAACAATCATATTTATATTAATTCAATAAAGTTATTAATGAGTTGTACTTCTTGGAAACAGTTGCAGAAACATAACCTAGATTTCGGTAATAAATTTTAAAAACCTGTCATGGCATTACCTCCTAGATAATTGTTTCTGAGAGCATAAAGAAAGGCTGAAATTTGATGTCCCTGATAACCACATTCTCGAAGGCCTTCACAGAAGACAAAACATCGTTTAGGGTCTATTTAAGTGATTTCATTGTAACGCAAGCGACTGAAAAAACAAACAAATAGTATTAATTTTTATGAAGTATGAAATTATACTTCAAACAAAGTTGGTGGTATGTGGCGAAAATACCATGTCTCGTATTAGTTTCGTGGAACTCCACTTGGGTAAAATCTATTCATCTTCAAGTTAAAATAACACAATCGAATAATGATTATCGTGCTGATTCTTGTTGCTTCTGAAAATTAATGATTATTGTGCTGATTCTTGTTGCTTCTGAAAATTAATGATTATTTTGCTGATTCTTGTTGCTTTAACTCCTCCAATAATCTAGTCGTCTGTCAGTAATTTTCTTGGAAATCATCAACACCTCCAAATGAGCTTTAAATTTTTTTGATTGTTAATAAAGGTTTTTCTTAAACTATGCAGATTTCTGGAACTTTTATTTGAATTTTTTGTACCCTTTCCATCTATTATAGTAAATGTAATATTAACTTGAATATCAAGGGTATTCGGAATCTTATTTCTGTTTTTCTAATTAGGCTGGAATCTCTGCTTAAGCGCTATGATTCTTATGGCATGACAGACCTGCAATTCATTATCGTAAACCATAAAGCACCTCATGCGCAAGAACTGTTGCATGAACTACAGGAGCGTGTATCATTCGATGTATACCAAGAAACAGAAGATGAACCAGTTTGGGATATTATGGAAGGTGGAAAAGATGACATGTATGTCTATGACAGGTATGATAACAAGCCCTCATTTCTTAAGAAGCTGCAGAATTCTATAAATTAGTGGCGCTAATTTTAATTAAAGATAATTAAAATTATATGTGGCCATTACTGTACTCCATTAGAAATTCGGTTATTTGTAGACATTTTAAATTAATCATGTATAAGATATATGCCAACACCTACCATAGCTTGTTTCTAAGAAGCTGTTAAGTCTTCTAAAATCGTTCGCAAAATACTTAACCAGCTTAGATTTTTTTATATTGTTTTTTGCTGGATTATGGTTCATTTTAATGGTGCAATATTTCATTTCAGTTGTACTTTAGAAAACAAATCGTAGAACAAAGTTTAATGCTACAGATGCACCCTGCATAAAGGTGATTGAGAAATAACTAAGAAACAATTTTTTAAATGTTAAAATTATATGCTCACTTAAATTAGAACGTCGAACATTAATTAAAGCAATAAACTTTTATAAATGTTTTAATCCTAAAGAAAATGTAATTTGCCATTTGAAAACACAATGAGAGATTTGTGAATTACATTTTCGGTACATAAATTTTACTTTCTTTGAAAAACAAATTTCAAAGCGTTTTCTCCCCTTTTGGCATTTTTAGCCATACTGGCAAAAAATTCTAATGGTATACCAACAGCTCATACCTGGGATAAGATGACTGAGATCGTGTTAGAAAGAAGGAAAAAAATACTATAATTATATAAAATGTATGTAATTAATATTTTTTTAGGGATGAGATGGAATTTTTTACCACTTATTCAATAATATGGGGTAAGAAACCTCTCTAATTGCAACCATGTCAAATAGTTGAGTTCCTGAAGATTTGACTTGAAGGAATAAGGTTTAGTGAGCAGAAATATGAATAAAAGAAATTAACTTTTATAAAATGAGTTTTATTTAAAATCCATTAAATAATTAACGAATAAAAACGATAAAAATAATTTATCATATGTAATGGTAACAAGAAGTTAAATAATTCTCTATAAAATTCATCTTGAATATGATATCATGAATAATGAAAGCGTGCGGTGCCCTAGATAAATTTATTTAGGTAGTGCATATAATTTTGACAATGTATTTCAATTAATAGAATTTGTTATTTAGACCTGAATTCGTTTTTAGTTCATTCATTATTTTATTCAGTTTTAAATAAAACTTTATTTTATAAATTTCTTTCTAAATTTTAATGCTTAAAAAGTTTTCTATTATTATTTTTTCTCATATTTTTAGACTCAAGTAAATTGTCAATGAAATTATTTAATTGCGAAATCATTTTTCAAATAATAATAAGAAGAAGACAACAACGACGAAGAATCACTCTTTTGCTTCCAACGACTGTGCTATGTCAGATGGTCAAAACCACTAGAGTGATTTTCGAAAATTCGCCAAACGATCTGAAATTACACTTACAATTTTGAAGAAAGTTCATTTCAGACATTTTCCCGCTATATTCGATTCTGCAAACAACAAAATTCTCAAATTATTAAAGTACTTGTTAAACAAAGATATGAGCGAAAAGTTGTATAAACATTAAATTTTAAAACTTCTAAATCGAATTTTGAATCATCGTTTCACCACAGTGTATTGTCATTTAAAAACAATGTGTGTACAAAATCTTAACACGATATCTTATCAGGAAATTGTTTAAAAACCGATGACAAACGTTTGATCAGAGCGAAAAACGTATGAGTGAACTAAATAAAAGCTTATGAAAAGGGAAGCACTTTAGCTTAATTGAATGTTAGGATTTAAAATGAGGGGGGATGTAAACAGAGAGGTTTATATGGCACTCTATAACATGGTACTCTTAAATTTAAGACCCACTGTGTTCGACTATAACTTCTAAGCAATGGGATGTAATTAGATGTATCGAACTCAGAAGTGAACTGAATAGCACTCTATGTATTGAGTTTATGAGTTATTCAGATAACTAAGGTATTTTTTTTTTGCCTTAATTGTAAATGATTTAAAATGTTCAGTTTTTAATTAAAATATTTGGTTTTGCTGTTCAGGTCCTTATCTTTCTAAGATATTTATTCTGTGTATTAGCAGTTAAAAATGGTTGAACTATAAGTTACTGAATTTAATAGGACCTGCTGTTCTTTTTCAATTTGCCCGCATCCCGAACCTCATAACAAACTCTGTCATCCTGCTTTGAAAAAATGGGCTTCAATCTGTTTAATCGGGTTGAAGAGCTCAAAGGTTTCTTCTCAATATCAACTGCTGATGAGGAACTCAATCATTTAACAGCGGCTTGACAGAAGTTTCTGGTCTCGAATTATTATTAACTAAGCACTTAAAAAGTTTCTCGCGGCAGGCTTCCGCGTGGTGTGCTCGCCATTTTGTACAAGCGCTGTCTTCTTCCGTTGATTATTTTCCTTTCGTTGATCCGTTTACTTCTTCCTTTGATTCTGTTGATTATCGTAAGAGCACAGCCTTCTCTTCCGTCATTTGCAATTCTGCAGCTGAAGGAGAAGGTTCTAAGTTAAAGTTTCTGTATTAAAATACTAATTAAAACTGGTCCTAAAATTTGTGAATATTACGTCGATTCTTGTTGCTTTAGCACCGCCAATAATTTAAAAAAATTTTCTCATCAAGGAGAATTTTTTTCCGTTTCGAGCAGTCAAAGGGAAGAATTTAGCAGTTATTTCATTCTTTTTTGGATTAATTAAAATATTGCTCACATTTTTAATCATTTTTGTTATCTTTTTGTTCCTGCTAATAAACTTCGTATTCAGACTTTAAAATACATTTTAATATACAAATATGTGCGAAACCAAGCGACCTTAATATTTAATATAAAAGAGCGTTATGTTCCTCAAAATTATGAAGGTTTAATAGGCGGAAACATTTCTATATTTGAGTCAGTCATCCGAGTTTCAACTCTTGCTTAAGATAACCATTAAACAGTTTTATTTACAGTTACTTTTCATTAGATAGTGTCAGTGTTTCATTTCCTACCCTATTCTGGCCAGAAATATCTAGATGTTTTTTATGCACTTGCACCTAAGCTGGCGTTAATGTTATTCTCATTTTCACACTCGCAGCTGAAAGGCATAATATTGTTTCACTTTCAAAACTATACTGGATTTTGTCTTCTATTACGTCGAAACCCATTGCTAAGTCATTTTTAACTAAAATATAATAATTCGTTACTGAATTAAACTGATAAGATATAGCGATAAGATAAAAATGGCTGGACAGGAGTTAAGCTACTGGTTTGATCTATTGATGGAACAAGAAAACTTAAACATAATTTCCCTAAAGACTGTAGATAAAGATGAATTGGAATTAGGGTTGTTAACTAGAACAGGAAAGTTTTTTCGAATGTAAAACGCCTCAAGAAAATCTGCCAACGGAAGATGTTTTTTGAATAATTTTGGCTGCAGAAAATGGAAAATGTTAGACCAACAATGGTGGCCAACAGAGAACTTCTGTGTTTCCTTTTTCTTAACATATGCCTCGTGTTCCTTAATGTGAAATTTTAAGGATCTCTTATTTTGACCAATGTAAATTAAACCACACTGGCAAAAAATCCTGTAAATACCCCAGGAATTCATATCCCGAATGGGGTCCTTAAGTATGGAACTGGGAATTTTATAAATAGGTGAATAAACTATTAAAGTTAAATTTATGTAAAATAGGTACAATTTTATAACTGATTGATGGAAAGAAAGGAATATGAATAAATTAGAATTCTTATAATCTTCTGCCTAGCCATTCTTACCTTATCACTATATCTTATTTCATTCGTTTGCACTTTGGCAGCTGAGTATGATGGTTCGAAGCGATCGATACTAATCCTGTGAAAATTTGCAAATATTACGCTGATTTTTGTTGCTTGACTTCCAAATTATTATTTATTTGGCGTGTTATTTTACCTTAATCTAATTATGGTTTCTAAAACCGTTAAAGGTGACAAGTTTACTTCAAATGCTACTGCATATTTACGCTTGCAAAAATGTGATAAAATATTTTAGTGCATGTATTAATGTCATTAATACTCCCTCCAGTAATTTTGCAGTTATATTATTGGAAATAATTTTCTTGATACACTCATCAAAGCATATTTGGCTAACTCAGTAATGACAGCAGGAATTCTGAAATTCAGCTCATCAACATTGTTTGACAGTAGTCATACGTAAATTAGATGTTCTGTAAAGCTTTAAAAGGGTTTCTGACGGCATAGAGTCTGAGACTAAAATCGCAGCGCGTCATTGGATGTTAACATTAAGAGGAATTCGTGAGCTTTTAATTTCTATCAAGAATGCACGAATTGCATTTAATATTCCGCATGCATTGTTATTTTACTCAGAATAGAGAAACTAAACTGCAGAAAGGGGAAAATTTAGCCATATTATTATTTAAAACCTTTAATAAAAGGCTGATTGCATACATGGAATGCGAACCATATTAAAGCTATAGAATGATTCTAACTGAAAGCATTCAGTTATGATCATCATGACTACAATATGTATGACATTATGACAAATACGAACATATTCATATTTTTTATTATATTTGAACACAATAATCACAAAACGTTTTGGTTCATTGCGTGGTGTATTGCTATTCATTTCTTTCTAAAACGGACTTAGGACTTCCAAAATAATAAAAAAATAATAAATGCAATCATGATGGTAATCTTTGAAATATAAGATATGCATTTAGGTCAGTGCAATTGCCTTTATGAAACAAAAAAATAATTTTACTCATTACGCTTTTCAGGTTTCTGTTTTAAGATTAAAAATGTATATGAATTGAAATTTAGTCATGGTAGTGTATTTTTTTACTGTAGGCGATATAAGAAAGACGGAATATCGCTAGACACTGATTCGGTTTATGGTATGCGGTGATGTTATATTTTCCCATTTAACGTAAAACGACTTTAGTTCCAAATTTAAATTCATTAATTAAATACATTTCTTACTCTGATAGCGCAGGCGTAATGCCTTGCCAGCCACATCAATGCTTGGAGCATTGTTTTCCGGACATGCTTATTCAACAATTCTTTTGTCACTGTGCGAATACATATTTTAACTGATTGTCGCTTGCGCAACATCAGTTCTTTCCTTCTTAATACTACTATTCTGCATCCTGATCTTACTGCTACTGACACTCTCCCACCTGGCGCGGTAAAGGGAGTTTTCTAGAAGGAAGCGGCAATCGGGAACGCCACCAAGCTGTACCCAGTTTCCAGTATGGAGGCAGAGCAGATCATGGCGATACTTCTCAATCACTAAACGCTAATGTTCTCGGTAGTGAAGACGACCAGGGCCGATCTTGGTGAGGGGCAGGATGGTGCACAGCACGTAGAAGGCCAAATTAAAAGGCGGCGAAATGATTATCAAATATATTATATTTCTGTAAATAGGGCGGCCAATTTTAATTTGCGCGTGGGCAGCCGACGACCATTACGATTTATCGACGCCTGGCGATAAATGGTAATAGTGTCTTTTTGTTGGAGCAGGTCTGCGGATGCTCAAACAGATTGATGGTAGGCCGCCTGATATCTTGGGATCTTTTTGTTGGAGCAGGTCTGCGGATGCTCAAACAGATTGATGGTAGGCCGCCTGATATCTTGGGACCAGATTACTCCATAACTATTGCCAACTAGATAACTGTACCATTGCAATCCGTCAAAGTGACGAAATTTGAAAGAAATAATATGTAATAAAGGACCTAATGGGAAAATAACCACCTCATTTAAATAAGCAATTGCTAACGTTTTGTTAGTTTATTGCGGGTGGAAGGTAATTTCCGTCAAATAGAAATTTATAAATATGGCATATCAAGAAGAATAAATTTTGAAGTTGACTGATAGGAAGACGTTAACTGGATAATTCTTAAACATTTATTTAAATTATTTGACCTTTGAACATTTACATGTAAAATATCTTTCGCATTACCTTTACGAGAACGATTTGTTTTAACATTTTTTACTGTAATGATAAAAATATGAGTGTGACATACACGGTTACGGATCACAAAAATCTCTTTAGTAATTTTTCAAGCACTGTTGCAAGTAAGCATAAAGGGTTATAAATTAGATAAACATACAAAAATATTTTTCCTTATGCTTTGATCCTCTGAGGTAGGCTTTAATTTCATGTCTATCTGTTTGCTAAAATTATTTGTAAAAACAATGTATTTTGCTATGTTAATGATTGTAATAAACTCTGTTTTAGATGTGGAAAACTTACTTACTACGTGCCATTTCCTCTAAGCGTCATAACCGAAGAACAGCCTATCGTAGCCACTGCAGTGCTAGCAACATATTTTAGAAGTCCATGTGGTGTAACTTGCGAGAAAAATAGTTCGACTGCGGTGGAAGAATTTATAAAAGAGTTTGAACACGAAGAAAATATGACAAAACCAAATGCAGAAGTAACGGTAAGAAAGCATAATTTTCGCTTTTTATGCCCTTTCAGTCATATTATTTGGAAGGAAAATCTTTTATGCTTTATTTTCTAGCGTTTCGCAAAGATGTCATGAATAAATAACCGAGATTAATAGGGAGATTTAAACATTTATTACACCTCCAAGCAATAACTTTTTTACATGAATAGAAAAACAGCTGGATTAAAACGTATTTATGACAGTACTCTGCTTAACACAAAAGCAAGTGTTGTTAATTACAAAGTCTTTGACTGAGTGGGAAAGGCTTGTTTTAAGTCCTGGACTATTTTAGTGCTATTTTAGTTTACAAAAATTAAAACTCTGAAATGGTTCAATGCCTCTCATTCAAAGTAAATGTGAATTCCATTTCTTGCCTAATATAAAAGAAAGGGCGAAGGATAATGCTGTGAAATAAAAAAAAAAAAAAAAAAAACTCCAAAAATGTTGTAAAATTAGAGGGAGGAAAACAATTGTAAATATCGCAGACCTAGAGAAAAAAGGTTTGTTAAATCTCTTCATAACACCCTTCAAATTCCCTTCAGGCTACTTTCGCAATTCCCTTACCTATTAACACGAATTTAACGAACATCAGAAAATAATCCATCAGTCTGTACTCAATATGTCTACGTGTTCCAGCTGATAAAAGTCATTACATAGCCTGAACTCGACTGTATATTGGGTGGGAGATGGGGTTGCCAGACAAAGCCACTTTGCACAGGATATACACATTGACATCCCTAAGTCCCGGGCTTCAGACTTCTGGGGTCAGCGGACTTTCGAAAGCCTCCTGAAGCCACCACTGAATTGTCTAGCTAGGTCACCATTCTCGGAGGCCAGAGACCACGATAAGGTGAGCCTAAGAACCTAGAGATTTAACTGGTCATCTTGCTTCTACTAGTATTACACTGGTTCCGTTATAGCTTACGCTTTTACACCAACTGGCCTTGTTGAACCAATTGAATTAATCCGAAGGTTCTCCCAAAAGCTACATGGAACCACCAGGCTCGTGTTTTTGTACCCCTGTCAGTACAATAAACGGCAAATATACTCGTAAAATGTATAAATTTTCACAAAATGGAAATTATGCAAAATACACAATAAAATTGTAAAAACATAACGCGCCATATAAGTAAATAATACTTATATAATAAAATACAGGAAGTTGAAAATCCTCTAGGTACTCGGTTAAATTAGCCACCGTACTTAGAACAATACATTAATTGATATTTTAGTTTTGAGTCATAGTGGCTCCCTTCTGTATGTACGAGGGCGAATTCAGTATGTGTGCTGCTGAAGAGCTCGACGATCCGACGTTCTGGTATAATAAAACACGACTTATTTCAAATGATAGATGTACTTAGCTTAGACAAAACAAAAAAAAAAAAAAAAAAAAAAAAAAACGACGCACGAAGAAGAAGTTATCCGAATGGGACGACAATCGATAGAAATGATGTACATGTACAGAAAAAAAAATTATTACAGTTTGAGAAAAATTGGATGATTTATTGAAGTGATAGAGCTTCACAAGGTGAAAAAATCAGTAACGCGTTTGTCTACTTCTGGCCCTAATGCAAGCAGTTATTCGGCTTGGCATCGATTGATAGAGGTTGCGGATGTCCTCCTGAGAGATATCGTGCCGAATTCTGTCTAACTGGCGCGTTAGATCGTCAACATCCCGAGCTGGTTGGAGAAATCTGCCCATAATGCTCCAAACGTGCTCAATAGGAGAGAGATCCTAAAGATTGCTGGCTAAAGTAATGTTCGGCAAGCAGTAGAAACATGTGCAGAATGAGGGCGGGCAATTATCTTGCTGAAATGTAAGCCCAGGGGGGCGTGACATGAGCAACACAACGGGCCTTAGAACTTCGGAGACGTACCGCTGTGCTGTAAGGTTGCGACGGATGACAACCAAAGGGATCCTACTATGAAATGAAATGCCACCCCAGACCATTACACCTGGCTGTCGGCCTGTATCACACCCGGTTGTCAGATTGGTATCACACCGCTGTCCGGGGCGTCTCCGGACTCGCTTTCTCTGATCATCGGGGCTCAGTTCAAAGCGGGATTCATCATTGAAGACTATTCTGCCCCAGTCAGTGACATTCCAGTGCGAATGAACCCGACACCACTGCAAACGGTCTTGGCGTTGTACAGAGGTCAATGGCAGTCGGCGCAGAGGACGCCTTCACCTCAGCCCCCTTTCTGTCAGCCTTCTATGAATGGTCCTTGCGGTCACTGAAGCACTAGTTACACGTACAATCGATGTTAATGATGCATCTGGGGCTGTGAGTGCCGCTCTAACGATTTCTCGGTCTTCACGTTCTGTCGTTTCTCTAGGCCTATCGCTTCCTTCTTGACGTTGTGTGCGGCCATGGTTCACCCATTCCTGCCAATATCGTCTAATAGTGGCTCAAATGTCGAGCTATTCGCTAATAAGACCAGCCGGCTTCTTTGAGCCCACTACAAGACCTCTCTCAAATTCTGCGTATATCTGCGTACATCTGCGTATATCATTCGCGCACCTGTGTGCGAGACATTACCGAAGAGAACAGAAGAGACTTACCAGAAGAGTACAGGGAATGAAATTCGTGAAGAACTTATGACCTGGAATCGTAATTTCTCCTCTTAAATATCCTGCCAGTTGCGCAGATCAGATGCGCTGTAGCGACAACCGTTCATTCATTGGCACCCAGAATGTAAAATTTAGGATTTTCCGTCGAAACCTGTTTGCATATAAATTTGTGTCCAGTTTGCTTTATATCTTCTCGGTGCGTCATGGTGCGTCGGGTTTTTTTTTTTTTTTTTAATCTATCTAAATGTGTATTTTCATACCGCTAACACAACCTTGATTGCATTTCTTCAGAAGTCTTCGATGTATCCAATAGATTTATAGCTAGAAAATCGCGCTGTTCAGGAGTAACTTGATAACCCCATAGATCTTATCTATCTTGCTCAAATGACAACCATCTACCCTATTTCCTAAGTAAACTGATCCGAATACCATGTGCATGTTTTAGCTCATCGTTGCATTCTCTGTGGTCGAACACATTTTAGATTATTTTCTTAGCAATTTTTTTTTCAACTAGAACAAAATCAAGACCAAATGTAAAATTACATATACAAGAATATCTTTTTGAACTCCAGTTTTCTAGAAACATGCTTGTCCAAACAATAATAATGAGAACATTGTGTGTCTTCCGCATGCAAAACGCCACGTAGTATATCGCATCAGATTTCAACTTAACGTTATCAAAAGATTATGAAAACACACACGAATATGAAAGTTTGATGTTAATAAAAAAGGAACAATTTTTGCTAATCTATCAGTAGCCCTAGAAAAGTATGTTAATAGAGTCATGTAGCACAGTAGCTTTCAGTTAACTACCTACCTACCTTTGGTTTAGGTAATAACAGATAATGCTTTTCTTACATACAAATATTATAGAAACGAATAAATAATTAAGCAAATGTCAAATTTAGTTTGGCATAAAAAACGCATTATGCATTACGTAGTTTAACGGAATTTAAAATGGAACGCATTATGCATTTCGTAGAAGACTAGATATGGGCCTTCTATCTTATATAATATACTTTAAATACTTCCATCCTTTAATATACTTCCATCTTATATAATATCCATCTTATATAAAGCAGCAGTGGTTTTCAACTTGTTTTGCCCCATGCACCTTTTTTACAATTGTCAGAAGAACTTTCGAGATCCAAATACATGACATTAATTTAGATACAGATTATTTTTAACATGCTTTTATAAATTAAAGAACAAAAAGTGCAGAAAATGTTAAGTACCAAAACTCGATTAATAGTTTTTTATGTTCATAAAAACTAAACCTAATATGAAATTACCCCCTCTCAGCATGACAACGTCTGTCATAGGGCTTTTCTATAAAATCACCTCTTATATACAGGGTTATTCAAAAAAGAAAGAGCAGATTGCAAACATGTATTTTTTCCAAACTACAAAAGATAGAAACATGATTCTAACGTTAATGGAAAGCGAAAAATGTACAATTTAGTACGGGTGAAAGTTCCAGTCATTGGCGCTGTTGTTTGTTCTGGTATTATTTGTCGGTTGGTAGTCTGTAGTGAAATGGCGGCGACACAACAGAAGAAGTCTTTTTTGTTCTACAATTGGCAAAACTAGAGTCCATTGTTGCAGTTCAGCGAGCATTTCGCCGTCAATTTAATAAACAACCACCGCGTCATAAGCAAATTTACGAGTGGCATCGAAAATTCGTAGAAGATGGTTGCATCTGCAAAGGGAAAAGCACGGGACGTCCACGCACATCGAACGAGAATGTCGAGCGTATTCGTACACTTTACGAAAGGAGCCCAAAGAAATCCACATCGCGAGCAAGCAAAGAACTTAAAATTCCTCAACCAACGGTATGGCGAGTTCTAAAACATCGTCTGCACATGAAGCCATACAAAAAAACTGCAGTTATTGAATGCATACCATAATTATAAACTTTTCTCTATCCATTTTATCTATTTTCTCTATCCACATTAGAATCATGTTTCTATCTTTTATAGTTTGGAAGAAATAAATGTTTGAAATATGCTCTTTCTTTTTGAATAACCCAGTATATTTTTTGCTTTTCTATATGCTACTGGTTAATATTAATAGCGCTTTGAATTGATTATATACTTTATCTACTTTGTTTTTAGCATTTTTATTAGGAATATATATATATTATTCGACTGTGAATAGTTTGAAATTTCTAAGGTAATGTTTATTTATAGTCTGATTACTTTTGTTTTCCCACAGGGTAATGAATTACTTAACAACACTTATAACGAGACAGATACTCAAACAGAAAGTTTTAATGCATCAAATTCTGATGAACCTGTAGTGGAGCAAATTGAGTATCCTGAAAACAGAAAGGAAAATGGACTATTGTATGAGTATTATTATCCTGATTACCAAGAAGGAAATTTTACTTCGGAAAGTGAGAACTCTAGTGACTCTAGTATTAATAAAGCACAACAATTTCTAAAAAATTTATTCAATCTCTTTTTTAGTACAGAGGAAGATACGCTTAGCACGACCGAAAATGTATTTAATTCATCCTCTTTTAATGCATCTCAAGAAAATGTTGAAATCTCTGAAAGAAGAAATAACACCAGCGATAACACTTCCTATCACCATCATCATGGAATAAGTAAAGAAAACTCTAAGGCTTTTGCAGAAGGAGACGCAAAGCATAGAAAAAAATCCGATCGTTGCGCTGAAGCTAATATGCAAGTATGCAAGAACTGGAGTAAAAAACGTTTACTTCACGCCCAAAAATGTTGTTCTGCAACCATTGGAGATAGAAAGGTGTTAGAGTATGACCCTCAAGCATGTAAAAATTTCGGCAAGAAGCGTTGCAAGAAGATACAAACTATTCTCAAATGTTGTATCAAAACAACATTGATGGATACTAATACCACCATTGCCAATGCTACAATTGTAGCTGAAACTGCTCTTTCTTCTGATAATGCTTCTGTTACTGATTCTGCGCCTGTAGCAGTATCTGACACTGCTGTTACATCTTCTGCAGCTCTTCTTATTGCTTATGATACTTCTACAGTTACAAGTACATCTAGTACTGAAGAAATATCAGTTACTGAAACCTCCAGTCTAGAAGTTGTCTGTTGTAAAGATGTCAAAAATAATAAATTTTGTCGTGTCTCTGAAACATGTAATGATGACGAGTACATTGACCAAAGTAAACCTGTAGCTATGTGACAAAGAGTTGCATGACAAAAAAGCCCTGCAAAGGGCAACGAAGAATTTAAAAACTCAATAAAACGTATTTGATGACAATAAGTTTTACGCCTGTCTGGCAATGAAGTGATTTCGACGCCATCTATGTTTTAATTAAAAATATTCTTGTAATATAATATGTAGATACTACAGTAGCTTGTAAAATTTTGTGCTCCATTTTTTCTCATTAACTTTTACGAAGTAGAAATTATTTTTTTCATAATAGCGCAATAATTAAAATACGCATAAGTACCTATAAAAATACCCAGTTTAGTAAAATGCAAATAACATCAAAATAAGTAAGTTTCAGTATAGTTTAAAAACAAGCAAAATGCAATAATAATATAACTATTACCTTTTACTCGCAAATTTAGTTTATCATCATCTCAACGTATAAAAAGTATTAGGAAACAAAACTTTGTAGATCAGTTTGCTTATGTAATACTGAAAATTCTAATTTATGAAACAAAATTGTTTTTAGTTTTGCACGTAGAAAAATAGGAGCACATCTCCACATAGCCCGCATTTGCTTGCCTAGTTTTAATGAAATTTGCATGCCTTTGCGAATTACCATTATACGTTTCATGCAGCGTCAGGAAAAAAATCTATAGTTGGTTTGGTTTATTTAATTATGGCAAAGCACACTACGGCTATCTGCCTAAGGAGAGGGATGCGTTCGTGGAGGACTTTCTAAGGGAAACTGACTCGTATACACGTTACACATGGGGAAAAACCACGAAAACACCCATGCAGCCAGCCCGTTCGCTGGATTCGAAACTCGGACCGAACTACCAGTGTTCAGCGACTTTTACCGCTCGTCCGCTGGTGGGCCAATCTATAGTTGGAACAGGAACACTGAAAATCAGTAAATTTGAATCGTATGGTTCCTTTAGATCAGGGGTTCTAACTTAGCTTTTCATTATTTAGTTTTAGTTTATGAATATTCAAAAGATTATACTTTTATTCAAGTTTTGGTATTTATCAATATTTTTTTATACTTTTTAATGTTTAATAAATAAAGCACGTTAAAAAACAATCTAAATATATGCATATGTATTTTTCAAGTTTGGGAAAGAAGGGGCTAGTAGCGCTGACGAAAGGTTTGCACGAGGCAAAAAGGTTGAGAACCCCTTTCTTGGATCGTAGTTGCCCATTATGGGGTATCGCTATTTCGCGATGTGCACGTAAATTGAACAGCGGATTTCATGCGAGTGGCATTTACAGTTTATAGTTGCTTAAATTGAGGGCTATCGCTATTTCGCTTCGTGCTTTTGAGTCAGGCAGTGGATTTGATAACGAGTGACTCCTATAGCTTGTGGTTCTAAAGACATAGGATATCATTACTTCGCAGCATGTCTCGAGCCAGCAGCGTCAAGTTGATTTCGAATGTTTCGTTTTCTTAAGTTTACTACTAATTGTACAGTGGAACTGTGCATGTACGACCACACGAAAAATTATGTTGTCCCGTCCGCTTCTGATTGCACCCGTAGTCAAATAGATTGCAACATTACCTGAATAGGAGGGGAAAAAGAGTACAGAAGCTAATCGTTTGAGTAGTAATATCACTGTAGAATATGTAGGGGGGGATTGGTAAATAAACCTTAGAGCATGCAGTTAATATACGTTCTCGGTGTTTATTTTCATTAAAATTCAATAAGATTTGAAGAATTGTATAATAGATAAACAAAATATATCAAGGCGTAAAAATCACTTCATTGTTACTTTTACATTTTCAAGGAACTCTAATGTATGAAAACAATGAAAAAAATCCTAACGGAAGTTCATTGTTGGATGTTATGGAGTTCTGTAAAGCAAATAATAAATAGTATGAAACATTTCTATTTAAATATTTTAATTACAATATTTGTATTTAAAGTATGGAAATAAAAGGAATTTTGTAGCAATATTTATATTTTTATTCTTCGAAAGTAAATGTTTCAAATGTAGAAAAGCATAGCATATGTTCTTTGCTTAAAGCAGGATGTTTTCCTGCTAATAATGGCTAATTATTCTTCGATTTTTCTTAATAAAACTGTGTAGTTTGTTTGTTATTTTATGTACAAAAACAAAGGAATTCAGAGAGTTTTGTTTATTATTGCTCAGTCTGCAAAGAATTAAATGAAACTATTTAAATTATTGTCTAATAAATTTATACCGTTATAGAGAAAACGTATCTTATAAGATGGACTACATATAAATCATTTCGACATTTATGTTACATATTTATTTCTAGTTGCAAAGATGTGAAAAAGTATTATCTGCAGTGAATGTACTAATTGATGAGCCGTGTTATGTATTAGAATTATGGAGTTGTAATTTAATGCATGTACAACAAACAGTATTTTATCAAGATTATCAGTGATTATTTTGTGTTTTAGTTATTTTAAAAAAGATATAAATTATTTAATAAATAATATCTTTAAAGAATTTAAAAGTTACGAAATAATTACTGTAATTATTTAGAAATGATTGCTACTGAAGTTTACTTTTAATATAACTCAGGTCTTTGTATTATGCATTTTATGTGACTCACAGTTTTGATGAATATGTAACTAACTTATTTACAGCTTTTATATAAAATGAATGGACTGAAATTCTAAATCATTCTCAAAGAGATAAAAGCTCAATATATCGTAAATGAAGACACCGGAAAAAACTTTTAAAGGGACCGGTTGTTAGATGGACTGGTATTGAGTTTTAAACCTGAGAATGATTTTGAAGGACAGTGTATGTATAATATTTAACTTGTTATTTTGCTGTATATAAATATATTTTATTTTAGTGTAATAAAAGCAATCTAAGATTTGTTTTAAATCTTTGATTATTTCTTTTTTAGTTTTTCAGTTTAAAGTACGAAATGATGGATTATTTCTTTTTTAGTTTTTCAGTTTAAAGTACGAAATGATGGGTGATTAAAAATTGATGTATAATCATTTGAATGTTTAAAGATTATCAGTCGGTCGAAAGTCGTTATTTACGTTGAGTTATAACAATCGAATACCTAAACCCAGTTCTTAACCTTCCTTGCGGAACGGAGGAAAGGGACCACAGCTTTATTAAGGAAAAGAAAATAAGAGGAACAAACGAATGTAATGCCATCTGTGGAGGAATACATTAATGAAAGTGGAAAAACTGAGATACTAGGATTCTGAAATAGTGTCATTAACTAAAAAATATAAATTTTTGGGAGCATAATAGATTTCAAGAAAATCCATTTCTACTGTTGAGTAAGCTTTGTGGACACCTTTGGAAGAATCGAATTCAAAATTATGATTAAGTGACCAACAAAGATAATCTATCTAAGATTTTTGTATATCTACTATTCGAAATGGAATTCCGGCTCGTTGATGAGAAAATTTAACTCTGTTTCCAGTTGACTGATTCAATCCAGATCTTCTCAACAACATTTTCAAAATTTTACTAACGTAGGTTTTTTACATTTCATTGTTGTTTCTTTCGACAGATGGCATTACATTTTTTCCCTCCTTGCTCCGTCGATTGACTTTTCTGAAATATTCGATATTTCTCCATCCTTGAATTATTATTATTTATTATTATTTTACTGCTACACTAGTGTATTTATGTTTCAGTTAAAGAATATCTTTTAACATAAAGCAATATTCTAAGAAAGGAATAACAATTTTCTTGAAACATGTTGTATAAAAGATATAAAAAATTCACTGATTAGAAGATATTGCTTGAATTAGGATTAATACTGACAAAATCAGGAAATAACATGTCATTACTACAAAATCAGTCAGGTGCCAGTATTTGAGAATGTGCTTTTAAATTAGTAGATTATCATTTTCGTGGGCTGTGACAGAGTATTAAGCTAAAATTATTTAGATCGTCTCGTAAGAAAATGTTCATACCGGATGATCTTTGATGACCACAAAGCGAATTTAATGCTATAATTTCTGCATTAAGGTGCGTTTATTAATTAATTAATTTTGGTATCATAATAGATAATTAATATGAACGTAAGAAATTGTTCATACGGGGCAATTTTTGATGAGCGCAAAGCGAATTTAATGCTATAACTTCTACATTAAAATGCCTTTATTAAATGAATTTATATTTTCAGTGCCTGTCCTTTGTTCACATTCCTAATGTTTCTGGTATCGTAATAGATAATTCCGTAATTTTAATAGGAGTCTCAAGCTTTCTTGAAGGGAATTGGAAAATATTCTAAGGCTTGTTAACTTGGCATAAAACTATTTCTGAATAAAAGCCGTGAAATGAAATTCATAAATTTTCGAGTGAAATTCTCACTGAATCTGCTTCCGAATTCTTTAATTCCGAATTCCAACCTTTCGACTCAGAATTCCATCTCCTTTTCGTATTTAAAATAGTCTTTCCAAGTTCTCATGCAGATTTATCGAGATGATTCTCTTCCGCCCCCACACTGTCTCTCCCTTTATCTTCCTCAACACCAAATTCCAAGCTTCGCAGGTCGAAACCTTGGCTGGCGTGTGGAAGCTTAAATTCAAGAGCGATTGGAAGTATTCAGATATGGAAGATTATGACGTCAGCAGACTGAAGTGGTTTTATTTCCGCGATGAATAGGGAAATGGGACCATAGGCGGATGGAACAATTAAGCTTTCTGAACGACAGCTTTCGAACTGTGGTGGAGCTCGTTTTGAAAATTTCCTTTCAGCGTTGGTCCTTGTTAGCTGCCTTTATAGTTCTTCGATTTAAAAGCTGTGGATTTTGAAGAGAGAATGGCATTGTTAAAGTATAGGAATGCGTATTGTATACGCGTAATGCTTTATGATCCATGTGCAAATAATGACGTTTCTTCAACCATTTCTTTAAAATCTTTTATAACGTATTGAGTTAAGGCGTACTCTTTAGGTTAAGTTTCAGTAGTATTTTGTAAGTTTGGGTGATACTGTCTAGACTGGCGGAAGTTCTACCGTAACTCATCAAGAATAAGTGGTTTGTCCCAGCAAAAAGTAAGGTGGGGCAAAACCGGTGCCCGTATCTGCTTCAATGGAACATAAACGCCAAAAACAACGACTTGCAAACTTGCCTGTTGGCTCACTTCCTCACTGTTTACCGATTACAGTCAATTTTCCATGTCAATTTCTCGTGAAATAGATTGTCTTCTATGCAAATTTGATTGCATTTCGCGAGATATTTTAAATGAAGTATTGATAGCTTCTAGAGCCACTTTCGAGTGGGATACCTGTATTACGATAGGCAATCAACGGAAATCAGGAAATTAACAGGTGCACACGTAGTTTATTTTTAAGATTTCACAATTATTTTTTACAGATAATTCAACATGAATTTCGTTTTCTATATAATTTATAATTGAATTTCCATTATTATGGAAAAAAGTTTCCTAAATAGCGTGGCATCAACTCCTGTTACTACTATTATCCCACTAATTTTTTATTCATTTTGTAGTTTTCGTAGACAGTTTTGCGTTACATTAATGGTTTCTGGCAGTGTATTTTCCATCATTTTGCTATAAACAATCTTAATATTCTTTTAGGCAAGCCCAATTAATCCACGACCCGGTTAATTCACCGTCAGTTTCAGAGTTCATTTTATTCTTCTGTAAGGATCTTAAGTTTTACTAACGTTTATTTTATTTTAAATCTTTACTATCACTTCTTATTTTCTATTCGGCCAATAAAAGCGTTAACTTATTATCCAGAATAAAAGCTTTACTTATTTGACTGGGCTAACGCAAGTACTGGTTAAGTTGTGGCTTTTTGCCAAGCGAGAGAGAGGAAGGAGTTAGTCGAAGCAGGCCGCTTGCCTCAGAAGTTTTAATCGGTTGCTGTTTGCCTTCCAGGCCGCATATAAGCAAAATGTACATTGCTAGGACAACGGCTTAAGTTTGGCCAATGACAATGCAGATAAGGATCAGCATTATCTCCGCCCACATGAGTGATGTCACATTCCTGACGTTTGTTTACATTCTGCTATTCGGCGTTAGGAAGTGCGTTCTTTGAATGAAAAACATTTTTTCTGCGGTAAAGTCGCTGAAAATTGGTAGTTCAGTTCGAGGTTCGAATCCCGTGAATGGGCTGGCTGCATAAGTGTTTTCGTGGTTTTCCTCATGTGTAATATGTATACGAGCCAATTTCCCTTAGAAAGTCCTCCACAAAGGCCTCCTTCCCCTTAGGCAGATAGCCCTCGAGGCTTTGCCGTAATTAAATAACCTAACCTAACCAAACCTTCATGGCCCTCCCCACACAGCCCAACAGAGGCTGAGTGGTAAAATGACTAGAACGCTGATAGTTCGATTTGAGTTTGATTTCAGTTGGACAGGCTGGCTGCATGAGCACTTACCTGGTTTTCCACATGCGTAACATGGATATGAGAGTTTTTCCCTTAGAAAATCCTCCACAAAGACATACCTCCTACATAGACCTTGTATGCTTTCCATAATCAAAAAACCAAACCGAACCCTCCAAGCAAAAACAGCTCCTCAAAAGAAATTCTTCATATCTGTCAAATGACATTCGTTAATGTAATAAAACTGTAATATACATACTAAATCAAACTCGGAGTTGTTATTAATTATGCTTACAGAAAACAAAGTACAGATTTTGTTGATTAATTTGCATTTTAGAAATAGTTGAGTAAATTTCTGACCTTTAATAAATACAGTGAACTCTAAGATGACCACCAGCAGCTCTACATGATTTTAATTTTGTGTAAAGCTTGTCATTTCAAAAAGAAGATGTTCAGTACCAGAATTTGTGTATTGAAGAGAAGTAGTCAGTTTCAGAAATGATCACAAAGAAAAAGTTTACTGTGTTAAAATGATAACCTGTTCCTAACTTTTTTGCAGGGTTTGATTTGGTTTATGTGATTTATAGCATTTTATAGCTCGAGGGCTATCTGCCTAAGCAGAGGGATGCCTTCATGGAGGACGTTCTAAGGGAAACTGGCTTGTATACACATTACACATGGGGAAAACCATGAAAACGTCCATGCAGCTAGCCTGTTTGCGGGATTCGAGCCTCAGACCGAACTACCAGTGTTCAGCGACATAACCGCTTGACGCTGGTGGGCTCCTTTTTTTGCAGGGAAGGAAGTGTAGGACATAACATATCTAAATAGTCCATGTTAAGATTTAATCTAGGAAATGAATAATGTTGAAGCTGAAATTAAAATTATATAAATTTGAATATCATGTAATGTTAATCTCAAATTTCGTTTCCTGTGATGTGATTTTTTTTTTAATGTAAAGATCAGGCTCTAGTATATTGATATATAAACTTTAAATATAGTATGAAGTCTTATATTTGAGTATAATACTGAAAAAGGTTCGACATATGAGAAAATAAATATATGTTTTCTTCACATGTTATGGAATATTCATCCTTGATTTAAGGGAACGTGAAGTTACACAGTTTTAAATTTAAAGTTTACAGAAAAATGTATGATAGTCACAAGCTTGACAAAAGATCCTTTGCTCAAATGATAAAAGGCTTTGGGGAACATAGATGCTAATTAGAAATGTGTGCTAAATACGAGGCAATTGGCATCCACAAAAATTGCAGAGTATTAATTTTAATACTGTTTTAGGTCTTACATATTATCCCTTTGACCGGCCAAGTAGCATGATTAGTGCCCTTGGTTTAGTGATTTTTTTGCCCTTGGTTTGGTTTGGTTTATTTAATTATGCAAAGCACTCGAGTGCTATCTGCTTAACAGGAGGGATTCTTTTATGCAAGACTTTCAAAGGGAAACTGGCTCTTAAACACATTACACTAGAGGAAAACCATGAAAGCGCCCATGCAGCCAGCACATTCGGCAAAATTGGAACCCTGGGCTAAATATCTAGTAT